GGGTTTAAGGGTTTAGGGTTAAGCTTTTTGCTTCAGGCTTTGGGGTTGAGGGGCTTAAGGTCTTAGGGTGTTAAGTTTGGGTTTCAGGCTTTGGGGCTCAGGGTTTCGAGGTTTAGGGTTTTGGGGGTAAGTTGTTCGAAGAGTTTTAGAGAGGTTCAAGAAGGGTTTATGAAGGTCCTACAACGGTTGAAAGGGAATACCCTGTACTGTCACAGGTTTTTACGCTTCCTGAGTAAGAGTAAGCAGTACGTAAGGTTTTGATAAGAGAACTGGGGTTCAGGATAGTAGTCAACTGTGGGTTGGGTTTGGTGGGGTATACGGTTCTGTATAGGTACTTGGACCCTTGGGTGAGGGTATTGCAGTGGCCTTATGAGGTTTACGTAAGGCGCTTCATAAGGCTTTTATAAGGAGTTGTTTAAGGGTATAGCAGGCGGGTTGAGAATTCAGGGGTTTCCAGAATTTTAGAGACGGGAGGCAATTGCTTCAGGAGTTAAGGCTTTTGGGTTTGAGTTTCGGGCTGGGGGTTCATGTTGTAGGGGCTGGGTTCGGAGGCTTCAAGCTCCATTCTGTGGAGGTGTTTACTTTTCTGCTTCATGGCTGCGCCGCGAAAGACCGCGCATTCTGCGCATACAGGTTCTGCATGCCCCACAACTCGACATCCTTGGACTCTTTAAACCACGCCCCACACCCTGGGCTCTGAACCCTAAATGCCCATTTGCCAGTTTTTGTCACCCAGGCAGAGCCATCACGATTCACAAGCAGGAGCTGGGTCTCAGCTATAGCCCTTCGGCAGGAGTCGCATAAATGGGGGTTTAAGGTTCAGGGTTTACGAGGGTTCATGTGCCTCTACAATAACTGTTTGGCCTTGGAGTACCTGGTTCGGAAGCTCTTAGTCGCCAAAGCTTTAACTATGTAGATCGCCATGTAGACGCTTCGGGATCCATAAAATGTAAGGGCGAAGTTTTGTTTCAGAGCTTGTGCTTTTTGGTTACAAAAGATGAGGGGGGATGCTACTGGTGGTTTTTTTCAGCCTGGAGTCACGGATTCGCCCAAAACCTGGCGGCTTGGGGAGCTCGACATTATCTATGTATATATGCATGTATGTAAGTGCCCATGTCACCATACATGTGTCTGTACGTCATGTAATGTGATGCAATGCATGCATGAACGCATGCAGGTATGTACAATATGAGGTTGTATATATGGGCTATAGACTATAGAGCCCTCAAGATCTTGAAGTCAACCTTCCATGCATCCTTTCTTCAAGCATGTTGCCCCCAGACAACAACTCAAGCCCTAAACCCAACCCGAGATCAATAGCTGCCATGATCGCCAGGGCCTGAAACTCCGTCCACCACAGAACCGTGAATTTGGTTGGTGCGTCGGCCAGGAAAGCCCGGAACCGAAACCCCAAAAGATAAGACCCTAAACTCTCAACTCTTAGCCTGATCCCAAAAGCCATCAAGCCCTAAGCCCTAAACCCTAAACCCTAAATCCACCCTAAACCCTAAACCCTAAACCATCAAGCCCCAAGCCCTCATGCCCAAAGCAAAACCCAGCAGCCATCAGGCTACTCCAAGTACAAGGAACTTGGCATGGCTGCTGAAGCTGCGTGAGCCGGTGTGGGGTGCATTTTGTGGACTTAGGCCAGGGTTTGTAGGAGTTTAGGGTGTAGGGTTTAGGATTTAGGGTTTAGGGTTTAGGGTTTAGGGTTTTGGGTTTTGGGTTTAGGGTTTAGGGTTAGTTGTTGCTCAGGCTTTGAATTGCAAGGTTGTTTCGGTTGTTTCGGGGGGTTAGGTATATGGGGGTGAGTTAGGTCACAGTTTCTATAAGGTTTACAAAACGGGTTACGAAAAGGGTAGCTTTTAGGACTTACTGTCAGGGCTGCGACCAGGGGTTTAGGGCTTAGGGCCCCCGGGTTACTACAGGGATTCAGGGTTTAGGGCTGGTAAGTTTTCTTTTGTTGCCTGCATGCTTCCCTGCACCCAAGCCCAAATTCTCGACCTTCGCACCAGGTTTGGGGGTTCCTGCCCGTAAATCGCAAGCCCAGTCCACTGCAGGGTCAGGCAACTAGCCTTTAAATCATCACATCAAAAAAATCCCGAGCGCCCGAACCCGGAAGCCCTAAACCGTACAGAAGAGCCTTCATGAAATCCCACCACCCTCCCCCTTCGCTGCACACCCCAAAGTCTAAACCCAGAGCCCAATCCCCCGAAACCCTACCAACAACATAAGAATCTCTGGAATCCTAAATGCCAGAAACCGAAAAAACACTAAACCCTAACACCCTAAACGCCTAAACCCTAAATCCCGGCCCTGAACCCTGCAATCCTTGCACTTCAGCCCTAAACCCATGCTACAAGACGGACAAGTAGCTTAACCACTTCACGCACAGCCCAAAGCGCCAAACCCACATCCCTGACAAACAAACAGCCTAAACTGTAAACTTTTGTACAGAAGCATACACAGAAATTCTTCCCAGGAACCTTCACCCTTATCCCACATTCCTAGACAAAAGCAGCCTAGCACCGGTTAAGCAGAGTCTTCTGAGGTCTTCACGCTAAACCCTAAACCCTAAACCCTAAATCCTAACACCGGTTAAGCAGAGCCTTCTGAGGTCTTCCCTGAACCCTAAACCCTAGACCCTAAACCCTAAACCCTGAACCCTGAACCCTAAACCCTAACACCGGTTAAGCAGAGCCTTCTGAGGTCTTCCGTGTGGACGAAAGCAACGTCGTGCACCTGGCCGGTCTGATGCCGGACTCGCCGGCTCTTCGGCATAGGGATGAAGGCTTAGATTTGAGGGATGAGGGTTTAGGGTTTAGGGTTTCGGGTTTAGGGTTTCGGGTTTAGGGTTTCGGGTTTAGGGACACACACACACACACTTACACTTGCTGACTGACTAGCGCGTGTCCTATGTTCATGTTGTGCCACTAGAGTCACAGAATAATTGGCGCTCCCTGACCGGAAGCTTACATAAGCTAGTAGGAGAGAGTCCGACCAGCAATATGAAGTACTAGTTATTTGAAATATTTGGTCATTCTTATGAAGACGACCTTCTTCCTCCTCCTCCTGCTCATTATCTTCGTCACCCGGGCTGCCATTGCCAGCTTCAAGCCTGTGGTCATCATCATCATAATCATCATCATCGTCGTCATGGTCATCATCATGATAGCCGGTCCATTTGTATCGTCAATGTGATGAACAGCAGGCTCATCAGTCCAAGTTCACTACGTGCAATCGCGACGAGAATCATCCGTCATGTGTGCTTTTGGTGTCTTCGTCTATACAGTTACACTTAAGACGGATAAGCCTACTCAAAATCACGATTAGCATAAAGAACTGCTGCCATGCACCAGCACGCCCCGCATGCGCCGTTTGTGCCTCTCAAGTGGTTTTGGAGTTGGTGTCTCTGCTAGACTTGCCTTCGACCTGCAACCAACATCGCATCTGTAGACAGGAAACAGAGGGTGGGGCTTTTATGCAAAATCACGTCTATCTATCTATCTATCTATCTATCTATCTATCTGTCTATCTATCTATCTATCTATCTATCTATCTGTCTTATCTGTCTTATTTTTCTTATTTTGATATTTGTCTCGTCTATCTTATCTGTTTTCTCTATCTTATCTTTCTCATCTGCCTCATCGATCCTATCTATCGATCTGTCGATCTATCTATCTACCTATCTACTTATCTTTCTGTCTACTTAGCTATCTATCTGTTTATCCATCCATCTATCTATCTGTCTCTCTATCTCTCTGTCTCTCTCTCTCTCTATATATGTTCTCTCTAGCTCTCTCTCTCTCTCTCTGTCTCTTTGTCTGTCTGTCTCTCTCTTTCTCTCTCGGTTGGGCACAGTCGGTCTGGCACAGGCCTGAAACACCTTCCGAAAAAAGAGTCATGGAAACAAAAGCAACGATTAAGCACCAGCGAAAACAAAAAGCAAACGAGCGCCACACGGGGCACAACGACAGACAAGTCCCAGAAACATCAAACACGTTGTATGGTGCACGAGAAAGAAGAAGAGCTAACCTTCCGAACAGTCCCGAAAGAAAGCTCCTTGCAGCTTGCGGGAGTTCTTGTTTACAGCTTCTTCGTTAGAGAAACCAGCTCGGAGGCCCCCTTTTGTCCGATATTTCAAAGACTTTTCGGGTCGCATGGGGGGGGGCCCCGCCCCCGCCACCGCTATTGGACGATAAAAAGCCTTCCTGTTCCTGGGTGTCCCCTCATTTATCCGTTTTGATCCTGTTGGGCTGTTCTTATCAAAGCCGCGGCCCGGTAAACGGAAGTCGCACATTTCTTGCCGCTGAGCTGACTGGCTTGACGGTCAGCCGTCGGTCGGAGCTTTTGTCAGCCAGTTTCCGCCGATGAGCCCTTTAGAGCCCCGCGTTGCTATCTGTTCACTTAGGTGGTCTCGGAGCTCACGGCGGAGCATGACTTGGACAACTCCGGGGCTTTTGCCTCAGGGGGTCGCACTCGCATGCCGAACATGTCGTGTCATGCGGGGTGACGTTTTGTTGGTGCTCTGACAGTGAAGTTAAACATCCTCAGCAATGTTCACTGCGCCTTGACGCTGAAGGCTGCTTGTCTCAGTGCACGGTGCCATTCGAACCTGGTACTCCTTCTGTATGTAATCAGCCGTGCAGCCTAGCTTGGCGCGAGGTCGTTAATTGATTTTTCTTGTCGTTGTTCTGTAGTGCTTCTGGTTGAGCTTGCAGCTAGCAGGGTAGAGTAGGTGGTTTCGTGGCGAATCCCTTGCTGATCCAATGTTATGTGCTTCTAGTGTGATCGAGTTTTCTAGTTCTAACACCACCTGCTTATTGGCGACGAGGACATGGATCTTGGCGAGTTTTGTGCGGTCCTGGCCGTCATCAACGAGCGCGAGGGCTTCACCAAAGCTGAGTACGAACGGGTGGCCGTGGCATGGAACCGAGTAGTCGAAAGTTTTCTATCAGCCCACGCCGGGATATTCGGCATTGAGAATAACGCAGTAACATGAGTCGTCTCGCAGTGCTTAGCTGTACTGTGTATCTGCAAATGTTGGCTCAATCGTGGACTACGCAGTCAGGAGCGGTCTTGTCACACCTCAACGATGCCACCGAGGTCTGAATGTTTCCGCCTGTCAATGGTGACGGTAAATGCTGTAGCACTGTAGCTGTTACTGTAGCTGCCTCACAACATCGCTTTAGTTCCCCTAGCTTGCGATACTCTTGCGATACTTTTAGGATAGATGTGTGACCAATAGCTGAGACCTGGAGATGACAGACGCACATATCGTGGGGAAGTAGGTGATGGTTTTCGGCTGAAGCTGGCCAGCGTGAGCCATGGAGCAGCGCGCTCCTGGTGGGTGATGGAGACAGAGTGGAAAGCCAGCACTGGCAGAGTTTCGCTGCTTACGCGTTCGGGTGCCACAGTCCGTCTGGCCTATCGCGTCAGTCGGTCGGTCAAGAAACTTGCGCTTGAGCTGCACAGTCAGTTCAGAGCATTGCTGTTCTCGTGCGTGTTCCAGTGGTTCGTTTGCGGCATCCATGTTTACCCGAAATTGTGGTTAAGTCTTAAGTCGTCGGTGCCAAGTCTGTCTCGCACACTGCTCAGGAACACGAGCTCGCTTCGCAGCCAGATTTGGACAAGGAGATTGTTGACAAACGATGGACCGAACTACATCGGAGGAATGCCAAACTGGTCCATCAGCACATCTTGAAATATCGTGGTTTCCTGACTAAGATCGGAGCCTTGCCTGCAATTGCTCACTAAGCCTTTTGATCCGAGTTTCCATGGCAGAGGTTCAGATGCTCAGTTGTCCATTTGCCAGTTTTACCCGAATCTGATCTAATGCACTAGAGGCGGCCTCGCACAGCATGGCTTCCGAAAGAAAGTCCCCTCGAACACTTGCATGTAAGATGCCTTCACTGAAGTCTTCTTCAAACTGGTAGTGGAATGCCGGCAAGCAATTCCGCCATTCCTTGCGCAAAGCGGTGGTATACAAGAGTCTGTATGGCATGCTGGGCGGTTCGTTGCTCAGGTCAGGCGGCCTCCAGTAAGGCAGGCAGCTTGCCCGCTCCTTGGGTCGAGGAGCTGAAGAGCTTGCAGGATGAGCTGCCCATCTCCAATTTCCAGGACGGGGGCAGCGGATGCAGGGTCCAGGGGACATAGCTTCGGCCTTCCGGCACAACACTTTCCCAACGTCACTTAGACTTGAGCGTGAATTGCAGGAAGTGGTGCGAACCATCCAGACGGATTTGGGACGTCCTCTGCAAGACATCTTTGAGAACTTCGGCCAGAAGCCGATTGCCTCGGCCAGCGTGGGCCAGGACGGCTGGGCGGAGAATGGTTGAAAGGGTGGCATCCCTTGCCTCTAGGACCCCAGGACGTGTTTGTGAAGCATCGGGACAACCAGCTGTCTGCGCCTGTGCCAAACAGGATGTTCGTATATGTTGCCTGAATTCCGCATGTCCTCACTCTTCCTCACAACTCACAACTTCACGACTGCCGGCTTATCTGGAGTAATAAGTCAGCACCCATTCCTCGAGCGATCGTGAGTGTAGAGAGAACTCTACTTCCTCATCGATGTCGCACTTTTCTGCGGAGGCACATGTTGCAAATCTGCGGAGCAACCGCAAGAAGGACTTCGGACTGCAAAAGGGACGTTTGCTTACAGAATGCCTGTGTTGCTTTGGCTGTGGCCCTGTCGTGTGCATCCGTGCTAGAGTTTGCAAGTCTGAAGCTGCCAGAATTATGCACCCAAGCTTTGCATCGGGCAACGCCGAGTTTGTTATTCAACAGGTATCCACACCTCGAATGCATCCACGTAGTTGCAACCAAAGCCGCAGGAGACGTAGGGCAACTTGAGAACAAATCGTGTCCAGCTTCCGTGTGCAAAGTGCGCGTGAGGTGTGTGTAAAAGTTCAACATCACGGAGTTGGCAGTCTCATGACGGCAGACCTCAAGACGGTCGAGTTTATTGCTGGCCGAATGGCCAAGTACCACCCGGATGCACCAGACTTTTCTGTTGCTTGGCTTCAGCACTGCGTCATCTTGCTGCGGGCTTGCATGCAGGCTTCACGGATGAGAGCACATATCTGATTGCTAGTAAAGCGCTGCGACATTCAGCAACGGGATGCAACGGGCCTGTCCGCCAACCGTTGGCCGTAGAAGGATTTGACATGATAGAATCAGAAGAGGACCAATTAATCATCATGTACTTTGAAGGTATGTATGCATGTGTTTATGTATTATGCATATTTGTAATGCATGTACGTACATAGGCATGTATGTATGTATGTATGTATGTATGCATGTATGCATTTATGTCTGTAGTGCAACGTAATGCAATGATTGCATGACATGACATTACAACGTGTGTAACGTACGTAACGTATGTAATGTATGTATGTGTGTAATGCATGTAATCTATCTAAGGTAAGGTATGGCACGGCATAGGATGGGATCGGATGGTATGGCATGGCATGGTATGGTCTGGTATGTCTCTGTATGCGTGCATGCAGGATCATGCAGGTAAGTAAGTAAGAAGAAAGTAAGTATTTATTTAATTATGTATGTAGCTAGGCAGGTTGGCGGGTAGGCAGGTAGGTATGTTTGTATGCCTCTGTGTGTGCATGCGCGAGCAGCGTGCGTTTTTCTGAGGACCTTATCCGTGAGTGGCGCCGTGCCTCGAAAGAGGAGGTGGACTTCTTGCTTGAGGCGAAGAACGCCACGGATGCATCGAAAGCCTTGCAGAAGCGTGGGATAGACGTGGTTTGCCCGATGCCCATCTCCGAGTACTGCGGCAAGAGAGTGCTGACGATGGTCTTCATTGAAGGCTGGAAGATTACGGACGTGGACAAGATGCCATATGGAACAGACCGGGAAACAATGGCTCGCAACCTGGTGCATGCCTTTGCTGTGCTGGTCTTCCAGGAAGGCTTGATTCACGGAGATCCGCACCCAGGCGCCACAGTCATGATCATAACAGAGACTAACTAACTTTCACACCTGGTAAGGGTCGGCCAGTCCGCAAGACCCCTTTAAAGTTTGGGGAGGGTGCTTCCAGCCTGACTGCTGCAGGCAATGTGTTTGTCGAGCCGTTTAAGACCAACAATGGTGATACGCAAGTGCGCCCCGTGCTTTTGGACTGGGGTGCCTCAGCTTACATAGTCCGAAGCTTCCAATTCTAGTAGAAGCCGGTGAGTTTTATCAAATCTGGGGACCAAAGGGCCGGAGCTCCCACAGCCTAGAATGGGCCTAGAAGGAGCCCAGTGCAGCCAGCTTTCTAGTCCCAAGTTTCCCTGTTCCACTTTCCATCTACTACTGTAGAGATGTTGCGTCGACTCGGGGTACCCGAATCAGAGCCAAGGCATTGTGAAGCGTTTGGAGAAGGACGAGCGGATCGCTGCAGCCAAGTGGATAGTGGCTACCTTGGCACAGGATAGGCTGCTCTATGTGAACAGCCTGAGGGACCTTGGCTTCGAGTTCGATGCGGATCCTGACATGCCAGAGTTCGCAACTTTCGTGGAAGCATCCTTGGGCCAATGCGCCTTCATGTTCCGCGACTCCATACCAAGCAACTCTCAGATGAACTTCTTGCAGCAGATGCAACAACACCAGGAGAAGGCAGAGAGCCAGGAAAGCAAAACCGGCAAGGACCAGAGCCGCCTTATCGGGAAGATCCCGGGGGTGGTGCTCTTCTTCCTACGTGGCTTAGAGATGCTGCAGAATATCTGTGGCATGCTGGAGGCCCGTTTGGGTTTTGGTGTCACTCTCTCTCTCTCTCTCTCTCCCTCTCTCTCTCTCTCTCTCTCTGATTCTATATATGTACATATTATTTGCATGGAGTAGAGGTACGAAAACACATGCAGGGTTAGGCGATGGTCACGATGGTCGAAGTTTGTATGTGCTGCAACGAACGTTTGTCCGAGCTATATGCATGTCACATAGACATATCTTGCGCAGCTGGCTGTGCGTGTCTGGCGCTTCCGTTTGCGAGCCAGTGGTGGCAAACTGCGCCAACGAATAGTTGTGGTGATGCTTCCCTCACGCACCTTCTGTACTTGCGCAGCTCTGTTGTTGGAAGTGGCTGATGTGCCCCTCGGACCCCTGGACGACTTGGAGCTGGTGGCCCCTGCAAGCGTGTGGTATGTTCAAGCCCGTACTAACTAGCACGGGGGGTTCAATCGGGCATCGTGACGATCGCTGATACATACTTGTCTATCGCCCGCGATGCAGTGAGCTGGCGGAGTTGGGTTTCCGCTGTTGTGATTGCCCATGGCCGCATCTGCCAGTAGCCTTCTGGCTGAAGGTCACGGTTCCCTTTGCCACGATTATGCTGGACAGTTGCATGCCGCTGCTGCAGAGCCAGGGGCGATGGAGCCCTTTGGCCGCTATGCCATGTCCGCCAGGCCTGGGCACCCACATCGGTGCTCCGTCAAGCCAAAACCTCAAAGTGATCTCAGTGCTTCGGTTTACCGCCCCTGGAAGGCTGCTCCGCGCTGGAGCAAAAGGTCCGAGCCAAGCTGCAAGCGCTGGACAACCAACATCTCATCTTGGCTGCCCAGGCCTGGAAGAATTATGACAGTGTTACTGTACGATGCAGACTGCAGACTCCGATAGTTTGCCCCCATGATGTGAGGAGAGACCAAGCTCCCTAGCCCCGCGCGGACGCGACAATGGTTCTTCAGAATTGGCGGTTGTCACTGTATGGGGCAAGAAATATGGGCGACTCCTTTCGTATCTTTACTTAGGAGCCAGCCTCCGGAAATCAGGGTTCATAAGATGTCCACAAAACCCGGGTTGAGCGCTCTCCTGCTGTGCACAAAGCCCACCTGTAGCTGGAAATGCCTGTGGGGCTTGGGAATTGGCTTTGACTTATCTGAGCAGCAAAAACACAGTACAGTACGCAATGCTGGCTTTGTGTTAGTGACTGTAGTGCTCATGTCTTGCGACTTTTCCGCACGAACAGTATGTGCCACTGTCAAATCAATTTTTGTGGTCGGGTCCCACGCGGCTTTGGCTGCGAGAATTGGTCGTTGGCTGGCCATTCCTGGTTTTAGCTTGGAGATCTGTTTTTCGCTATGTAGAAGCGTACTGCCTTGGCTGCAGAGTGCAGTCACACAAGCTGGTAAGCACGTAAAGCGCCATGGTAGAGACCGCAGGTCGCCGTGTTGGACCAAAAAGGGGAAGTGATGTGCAAAGCGAGCTGCGGGCGGGTGGCCGTCTGCCACGGAGCAGCGATCTCTGATGAGACAGTGCTCCGGTCATAAGCTACCCAGAGGACTTTGGATTCTAGCCGTGCTCTCCGCATTTTCAGGTGGCAGGAGAGACGTAGATCGCAGCTGCAAGTCATCCAGGTTGGTATGGAGATGCAAGCAGAGACTCGCTTCATCCGAGGTGATGCCGCTGCTGAGCCTGTCTGCTGGGCCTCTGCTGATGTGTTTGTTGAGAGCCCTGACACAGCCGTCTGAGACAGGCCAGGCCAGGATCAGCTCCGAGACAGTTTATCCATGCTCAAGAAGACCACGTCGTTCTGACAGCAGGGTCTATAGATTTGCCGTAGAACATCTTCGAATGCTTCACAGATGCGGGGTCGTTTGGGTAGCTACATGCTAACATGTCATTCACAAAAGTTGTCTGTCAGATCTTCCCTTATTGCTTCGCGTAACAGGCAAAGCCGTGGCGCTCAGCAGCCCTGTTGCACACCTGTGGCCGGACTTTACTCAGAAAGGCAAGAGTGCCACCATTGAGGACATCCTGCGGCACCAGGCAAGGCGCAGAAAAAACGAAGAGGTACTACCATGTCAAGAGAAATTCACAAGTAACAACCAAGCGTAAAAATTCCTCGTGCGACAGAACATAGATTCGCAGCAGGCTTGGCGGGAGGGTGCGAGTGCCCGCGGTAACCCCGCCCGCGAAAGAACCCTACCTCTAATTAAAGCAGAAACAGAAGACCTTTCTCATGTCTTAGTGTATGAAGCAAGGATAAAGAGCTCATCTGACTAATCTATGACAGTTTCCCCTTATCTGCATACGAACTTGGAGAGCATGTTTTACCTCTTTCAGCCTTGCGCTCAACAAAATATACGAGCGCTTCCGCTCGACCAATGCCGCTACGACGACGGCGACGGCGACGACTCCCGCTGCTACTACTGCTGTTGCCACCATATCCCGACGACTACTTCTGCGACGATTACGACGACGACTGCTGCTACATTGTGCCGGGAATCGAGAACCGCTAGTGTAATTGGTAATCTTGGTCGTCTTCGTGGGGGGCGTGGTCATCTTTGTAATCTCGCTTTTTTAGTTTTTTTTTGGAGGGGGCTGGGGGGGGTGTCAGCTTGGTCATCTTGGAGTCCCCAAAATCCTGCGTTTCGGGTCGGGTAGGGTTTAGGGGCGTGCCCGACGCGCGCGGATTGCGAGCGATGGTTTTAGGGGTTTGGGTTTTGGGCCGGGGCTTATTAAGTTTTGGGTTCACGGCTTATGGTTTGAGGCTTGCAGGGTGCGCATGTAATTAGTCTTGATTGGCGGGGATTGTTGGGTCTGGGCGGGACTTGCACCACTTGATGACCAAGCTTACCAAGCTTGCGGGGGAGCGCGAGCCTGACGAACAAGGCACCTAGATGACCCAACTGACGCGAAATCTTCCCCCCTCAGCAAGATGACCAAAATGATGCGGCATCTAGCCCGCCCCCTGCCTGACCAAGATTACCAAGATTACCGTCATCTTGCCCGGCTTGATGGTTCCAATGTCCCGGCACGCTGTGCTACTACTACTACTACTACTACTACTACTACTACTACTACTGACGACGACGACGACGACAACACGACGACGACGACGACTACTACTACTACTAACTACGACTGACTACTGCTACTACTACTACTACTACTACTACTCCTACTGCTACTGCTCCTGCTCCTGCTCCTGCTCCTGCTCCTGCTCCTGCTCCTACTACTAGTACTACTACTACTACTACTACTACTACTACTACTGCTACTACTACTACTACTACTACCACTACTACAACAACTACAACTACACTCAACAAGAACTACTACTCCTGCTGCTACTGCTACT